AACATATTTTGATATCCTCAATCCCATATCGTACTCTCCTCCACTTTAGTGTGATGGGATGGCTGGAAATGTTGGCAATTGCAACCTAAGAAATCTGGAGGGGAAAGGCTAATAGATGTATTTAAATGTGAAGAACATGTCTGCTACAGAAGCAATCACATTTATCTGTATTCATTGTTCTTCCTTAGTCCAAATCTGATAAGTTTATCCACATTTCTTCCTGATGTGACAATGAATGTTGGGAAAAAAAATGAACCAATCAGCCTGTGCAACTGCATGCATCTACAGTATAATTATAATTCACTGTGCAAATCAGATTCAAGAGAGAAACATTGAAAACTACCCTATGTGACTGAGAAATAATCAGAATTGTACCGAGCCAGAAATAATATCTTCACCAATTTACCCATTAGTCACTATGCAACAGAGATACATATTAGGAAGGTTTTTATGATAAATCAAGTCCTAGCTGGATGCCCGTTGAATCAGCATTAAAAAAATAAGTCTTGACCACAAATGGGGTATATTGTTTGTTTGTTTGTTTATGCCACTCTCTAGAACAAAACTTGTCCAAGGTAGATTATAAAACATTTTAAAACCACAACTGAATGCTGAATTTGAAAAACAAAAATAAAATTAAATTTAAAATAGCTTAAAAATCCATGACTTGCAAATGGCAGTAATTTCTACAGTAGGAATAGAATGAATGAATGAATTAAAAGGTTCCACTGCTGTCAGTCTTGTTGGATCCCAAAGATATTCAAATAGGCACCAGCCATGCCTTATTGGACAGGGTAGTCCAGAGCCAGGAGCTATACTGTAAGCTTTGAATGGTAACCGCTTATAATTTCTAATCTACAAAGTTTCATTCATATCCCATATCACAGAAGCCTAGAACTGTGGAGTTGGAAGGATAAGAATCATCTAGTCCAACCCTTTGCAACGTGCAAGAAAGCCATTTAAACCATCCGTGAGAGTGGTCACCTTTTTAAAACCTCCAGAGATATAGAACCCACAACGTGGGTTCTGGTGGATTGTTCCACTGTTGTACAGATCTTACTGGAAGTATTTTCCTTATTCTGAAATGAAATCGAGTTAGATGTAACTTATATCCATTATTTCTTGTCCTAGTTTTTGTGGCCATAGAAAACAGTTCATGACCACTTTCTTAAAGTTTTATGTACCTGGTCATATCTTCCCTAAGTTTTCTTTTACTCAGACTGAACATTCCAAGTTCCTTCAGCCCATCCTCATAGGGCATGTCTTCAAGTCCCTGCCCATATTTCATGGCAGGGGTGATGTCTAAATTAAGCATCAACTGATTTCTGTAACAATCATTTGTGAACATACCCTTGTTTGCACTGTGGGGAGAGGGCTGGATACTTGTGCCCCTGAGGTCCCCCCCCCTTCATGACTTCCCATCATTTCTCCCTGTTTCTGCCTAACAAATGACCAGTGGCTGGGATCACAGCATATGAACCATCATGGCTTCACACAACATGCTAAATCAAAACCACATAATAATTTAGCATGAAATATGAACTAGTTGGATTGCAACAAATTTATTGGCCTATTTCTTGGTTATAAATCCCTTAGTCAGCACATATAACCTATCTATAGTAGTCCTTAAAAAAAAAAAATCAACGGTTTGACATAGCATATGTGGCTATTATATGATCAGCCATGCCTGTTTATTGCACCCAGTGCCCAGGACATAAAACATGCTTTAGATGTTCATGCTGATTGTGGAAAGCCATGCAATAGAGATGACTATTAAGACACAACAGTCTATTCCAGTGCAACCATAAATAAAAAAAAACAGAATTCCGTGTTCTTCTAACTGTGTAAAACAACAAGAATAACAGCATACCTCATTACTTTTCCTCCAAGGCTGGCTGAGGAATTCTGGGAGGTGAAGTCCACATATCTTCAAGCTACCAAGATTGAGAAACACTGCTTCAGAAGCTCTATCTGATTTCAAAGGGTGCACTTCCAAATGGACAGCTCCGAGTGCTACTGATAAAAAAGCACATATGCAGCTATTCTGTCTTTTTGTCCTTAGCAGATTCTTCAGGGAAAGAAAAAGATGGAAGAAGTGAAAGGTTACAAGTGGAAGACGACAACCTTTGTCTCACAGAATAAAATTCTGTAGATGTGGCAGGGCAATTTCCAAGAACAGTTTCATCTGAAAGTGCCAAAAACATATTTTCAACAGAAAAAATAGTTCCTCAGAATATTAAATATTCTGGGATTGGATCTATTAAATATGTTCTCCAAGCAGCAAGAAATCTGAGGGTAAATATTCAAGGTGATAACTTTGTGAGGCTTGGTAATACTTCTTAATTTACAAACTTACAAGCAGACATGTTGGAAGAACTCCTTATCTGATCTTTCAGCTTCAACCAATTCTCAGCTCTTTTTACCACTTGATTTTTTAAAAATATAATTTTTATTAATTTTTTTACAAAGTTAAAAGATAAATACAAAAAATATAAAAGTAAGAAAGAAATATTTTAAAAGTGTTGAGAAAGAAAGAAAGAAAAAAAGAAAGAAAGAAAACTTCTTTGCAGCAGTTATAAACATACTTAATATAATTTTCTCCCTTCAAAGTTATATACTGTAGTTCCCTCCTCCCCATATACAGCCCTTTTTAATTGGTAAATCCAGAAATCGCCAGTTCATTTTTATCCATTTTCAGCAAAAAATTCATAAAGTTTCCAGTCTTTAGTTCTTTTACCACTTGTGACACTATTCCAAATCTTAAAACTGTTTCAGACCGCTTGTCACCCCATACAATAGCTTTATACATACATTACAAAAGCTAGATAAGAATTCCCAGTTGTCAAAAAGATTATCTCCTTATCAGCTTCATTTATTAAATGTTTTTAATGGATCATTGCATTATCAGTGTTAGAGTAATAAAGAATTACTGTATTGGTAACATCATGTCTCATTTTTTATTAAATATTAAGGAATAATTCACTGTTTAATATGTTAAAGCAGTACAGAGATGGCCTTGGAGAAAATATGCAGCAATTGTTTGTAAAACATGAGCTTAGCTCAGGGAAACAGGAAAGCATGAGGAAAAGAGTCAAGATTGCCCCACCTTGACATTCTTTGATATAAGAGGGAGCGAAAGAGAAACTCTTCTCTGGTTTCAAAGTTTTGGATATTATAGCCTATATCAATAGAGTCCTAGTATTTCTTGTGGTGCTTGTTTCCTGACCTAGTCTATCTTGAAAGGCTGACAAATATGACCTATAGTAGAATTGTTCCTCATTAACGTGTGATTATAACATTCCATAATGAAGAAGAAAAAATGCTTAATCAATTCCCAGACTCTGAGCAAAAGTGATCGCAGGAACAGTGATTTCATCAAGCTTACAAAGAGACAACTAAATTACTATTACTGCTTGGAATCAGTAGAAGCAAAACCGCTAATAGGATTTTGACAGTATATGAAAAAAAGAAATCAACATGGCAAAAAAGAAAGCTATGGGCTTTTCTATGCATGCCTTCTTTAACACTTAGCAATCTTTACTGTAACCCAAAGTTCAATTGCTTAAGGAATCAGCAATTTACTAAATGGAAGATGGACTTCTAACAATAGAGACCATGCTGGATTAGAATGGTTAGGGAAATGACAGCATCGTTCCTGTGAGGTGGGTACGAAAGAGGACTATTAAGATGCATTTTCTGCTAGATTCACATACTAGTGGACAGGGAAGTTGGTAAGTATGGAAAGTGGGGAAGTGGCATCTGAGTCAGGTAAATATAGATAAGAAAATCCCAATGCAAGATAATTTTACTGAATCAGCATACATAGAGAAGTATCTGACGATTGTTTACAAATATGGCTTTGGTATCTTATAGAGCATTAACCGAATAACCGTAATGTATGGTTTAATACACATGCTGGTATACATAATTGAAATATTCACAATGGCTTCACCAAACTGGCTTAGTATTCAGTGTCATCCTGTAATGTACTAAAGAACATTTTATCACTTTCAAAGTGCATGTAACCAGTAAATTGTGCTGGTTAGGGAGTGCATGTGACCACAATGCTGGTTAGGGAGTAGTTAGATTACTGTTTTCCTTTGTTTTTGTCATTCAGGTTTTTATATGAGCTCTACTAATGGATTGTTTTTAAATACAGTGGTACCTTGGGATACGAACTTGCCTCTACGTATGAACACAATCATTTGCGAAC